TAGATTTTAGTCCCCTGGGTCGACCTAAGGTTAAATGTCTTCTTTGGCGACAGTTCGCGAATCGACTCGAACGCGTAAGCACTCAGACCGGCTCGGATCTCGGAGCACTAGGTCACGGCACCCTGATAGATCTCCAGTGTTTGCTCAGTAGGACACGTGCATGTGGTGGAGGCGTCACGCATCTTCCAAAAGCTCTTAAAGTAAAAGTCGAAGTATCTTCCGGGAATCCGCGGATTATATCGGTAAGAACAACCAGAAGCTTCGTTTAAGCCTCACAACCTTTGGCGAAGCGGTTTACACGCGTTTTAAACACTCAAAAGCGTCGCGTTTCCTCCCAGGACGCGGTTGTTTTGCAGAAAATGGCGTCATGGTTTTGTTGTTCAGTCTGAGGATGGTGAAGAGACGGCTCGGTTTCGATTCCGCGCACCATTAGACAGGCTTTAGATGGCTTTTTAGGTGCAGATGACTGTTGTTAAGTACATTGGTTGTGTTTTGTGGTCATTTTCATCATGTGTGAGGCAGGAGAGTGCGCGCAATGGCGCAAGGCTCTCCAGCGCAGCGCGCAACGACGAGCGAAGCGCAGCTGTTCGTAACTCACGCAGGTTCGGTTTGGTTTGGGTGTCGACGAGTTGTAAAGTTTGTTTTGCGTGTTTCATGACGTCTTTTATGCTTTTCCTTATGCGTCATCATCGCCCTTTGTGGTTTTAAAACGCGTTGTGAGTGGTTCTTCCTTGTCTAGTCCTTTCGCGTTAACTTTAGTAGTTTCAAACGCGTTTGTGGATGAGGTGGAAAAAATACTGCGAAATCAGGCTCAAGTGAAGGTTTGGACACCGTGACAACATTTTAATCAATCAAAGGTCCGAGTATCGAGCGAGAACATGCTTGAGTGGAGGTAATAAAAAGTTTCCACGTGAAATTACATGTTTTAGAAGTAAGTTTACTGCTTTGTAAAGTAGCTTGTTTAGTCACAATTTCTCAATGTCATTACCATGTAGAGTTGTAGGACAAACCGAAATTGGTAAATGAAAGCAACATGAAACCACCAGCAGCTGATATTATAGGTGTTTGGCATTTGAATACAGTTGTTTATAGACTGATTGTCAGCTGTGTTCACTTAAGATCTTCAGCAATGTGTCCTCAAGTGTTGTCATTTAAATGTGAGACTGCAGAGTAAATACTTAAGTACAGTAATGAAGAACAACTTTTAGTAATTTACACTCATGAGTTGTGGGAGTATGTATGGTTTCAGGAGATTTTATGTTTACGTTCAAGTTAGTAAATATGCAGACAAAGTGATGTAATGACTCATAATGTGCTTTTTGTGATGCCATAATCATGTAACTCGTATGATATTATATTAAAATGTCAAAATGTGTTTTGCAAATCTATCAATTTGGACTTGATAAGTTAGCTGCCAGTGAGGTTTTTAACTAATTGTATTGACAAAACAGACTTTTTATAGAGGTTTTATAACAAAACTATTTTTATAAACAAAGCAGTTGTTTACACAACACATATCATAATAGATTAAGAAAAAAAAAAAACTAGAAACAAGAAAATTGGCATCTGTTTCAAAAATATTAAATGAAAGACAGTAGGAGTAAGTAAATAAATAAATAAATTTTAAAGATCAATTACAAGGACCAATGATTTTTTATGTTATAAAAATAACTTTTTTAAAGTAAAAATCAGTTGTTCAATAAAATACTAATTTGGTATGATCTTTGTTATAGAAAATTACAAATTTAGTTGAAATCAAAATGAAAACATAGATGTTTTATTCTTGGTACAAGTCTGAAGTACAATGTTGTAAATCATTTATACAGTTGATATGTGGCCCGAAATAGAGAAAATCTGTCAAGTTTCATGTTTCAAACTCTTATTAATGAGGAAAAGTCATTTAAAGGGGTCCTATTATGCTCTTTTACAAAGTCTTGATTTCCGTTAAAAGTTATTATAATATAAAAAATTTTTTTATTTTAAATCACCCAAGGGGACAGAAAAGTTTCCATAACTGAATCATCCAAGTGCGAAATACTCTTGATAGTGTTTACACAAAAAGCATTTTTTGTAGGTTGATAGATGTTGTTGGGATGTTCAGAGCTCTTGATTATGATGATAATTTCAGTTCAGACTCTTGAGGCTCATGAAGTGTAGGCTATTTGAGTTGTCAGCACTTCTGATTGTTTATACGACCACAACCACCATAAACACACCAAAGTATTCAGATTAATGGTTTATCGTTGTTTTTCAGTGACAGAGGATTAACATTTTATCATTGATTCTTCCCAATATTTAATGTCTTATTACATTCTTGTCTCTAGAAAGTAAGCAATGACACCACATGAGAATCACTGTTTGGAAAAGACAGTTCAAATGTGAGGCGACCCATCACCTGTTCTCTATGATAAAGCATAAAGCATACATCGTATTTAGAGGCTGTTGTCAACAAGAAGTGAACACATGTTTCACATATTTAGGGTTGGGTTGTAAGTAAAAACAAAACAAAAAATGGCATGCATTTTGGAATATGTAGAGAGGGAGCAAGAGATAGATAGATATAGACAGACTGATCTTCTATTAACTTTTCAATGGGCTTGTCATGTAGAAACCTTCAGTGATTGTCAAGACTGAGAGCTTATGTTGTTGTTTTTTAAAGGGATAGTTCACCCAAAAATGAATTTTGTCATAATTTACTCACTCTCATGTCATTTCAAACCTGTGACATTTGTTCTTTGTTTCTTATGTAGATCACGAAAGCAGATGTTTAGCAGAGAGTTCATGCTGCTCTTTTCCATTCAGTAAAGGTTGATGTTGACCAGAGCTTTTCCAAAGAAAAACAAAATATATTGCATGTAGTTGGTTTAATTAGGCCAGCAGTTTATCAGTCCAGTTGTCTAAGGATTTTGAAAGCTGCTAGCCATGAAAAAGCACACATCTTATTGCATTACAGTGTCAGTTGTTGCTGCATTTGAATAGCATTGTGTCAGTGAGTGGTGTTTGATGGCTCTCTTTACATGTGTGCTTTAGTGTGAGTATTGAGTGTGTAGGGTCTTTTACAGGCACAACATTTACTGGGTGAAAGACATCTGAAGTAGGACCAGGTACAACCAATATGTTTTTATTCAAGGGCAAAGGAAGTGTTGTAAAATATGCAAGGATGGAGAGAAAGAGACCGACACATATAGCAGATGCATTTTCAGTGCATTAAAAGCAAAGTTATAATGGACAAACAAACTGACAGATACAATCAAAATCTACAGTAACTGCATTTCAAAATGTACAAAATTACATGCATCATATTTTTCTGAAAATAAGTCGCACTGGGTCAAAATTGCACTGTTAAAGGGCACCTATTATGCAAAATCCACTTTTACACGTTTGGACATAAATGTGTGTTGGCAGTGTGTGAACACAACCACCCTACAATGATAAAAGTCCACCCACTCCTTATTTTTTAATCCCCATTAAACCAAGTCAGTCTCACTAGGCCTGCCGTTTTGATTCTCATGCAGTGTGGCGGGGCGGGGCGGGGCCGGTTGATTGACAGCTCTGCATTGCTATAGTTTCCGCCCTCAGCAGTTACGCTGTCCTTCATTTTCTCCGCGCTCGAGCAGCTGTAACGTCAACAATGTCTCGTAAGCAATCCCGATGCTCTGTGTTTGGGTGTAAGTCTGAACATAAGAGTCTTAATTTTCTCCCAACATCTGAGCTGCTGAGTCGTCCCATTTTCAGTGCATTTGGCTTCCCATATGTACGGCTAAACACCGGTTCTCTCGTTCTCAGTTATGTTGCTTCTACCGGCTGTTTATTAGTGTAGGTATGCAATGCAGAGAGACGTATACGTGACGCCCTCTTCTGGAGACGGGGCTGGAATATGCAGCTCATTTGCATTTAAAGCGATGCACTCCAAAACAGCTCTTTTTTAGACACACCCCAAAAATTAAATTTTCCACTAAACTTAACTACCTTACTAACTATCAATGAGCAGCAAATTAGTAGTTTATTGAGACAAAAGTCGTAGTTAAAGGGCTCCTATGCAATGCATTTTTGGACATAATTGTGTGTTGGCAGTGTGTTACACACCCACCCTAGTGCTTAGCGTTTTAACCGTATTTGTGTGCGTACATTTAAGTATTTTTAACTGATCAGCCTGTGAGATTAGTTCGCGCCGTTCGTAGCGCGGTCGCGCGGCTCGGTCAATTGATCCGCGCCGATGACAGGTCAGCGCGGCGCGAGCTCTGTAACATTGCGCTGCTTCGTCCCATTTTCAGTGCATTTGGCTTCCCATATGTACGGCTAAACACCGGTTCTCTCCTTCTCAGTTATGTTGCTTATACCGGCTGTTTATTAGTGTAAGTATGCAATGCAGAGAGACGTATACGTGACGCCCTCTTCTGGAGACCAGTCGCATTTCATTATTACATTCAGAAAAAAAGTCAAATACCAGCAAATAAAAATGAAATGTTTAGAAACATTATTGCAAACATGATTAAAACTATAAACATGTATTTTATTTTCCTGTCACTCCACAACAATTCTTTAAATTTAATGGTATTCAGAATTGAAAAAAAAATGTTTATAACAAACATAAATGATACAAATTTATACAAATTTATATTATTTAAATGCACCATACAAATAAACTTGCTTTGTACACTTTTTTGTGTTTTGATGTTAATTGCATTATGTAAGTTGCTTTGGAGTAAAAGTGGCAGCATGTTTTAGATATAAAAAAAAAAAAAAAACACATTCTGGAAAATATGGGGGAAAAAAGCCTAATTTAAAGACATTATGTCTGACACTGCATCTAGACTGATAAACAATAACTACATTTAATAATCAGACATATTATACATTTATAAATTCAGTTTAGTAATTTAATAATTATAGTACCATAAAAAATTTTGTCAATATATCATGCTATAAAAGCTCTCTGCAGTACCGTTTAGGGTTTGGCATTGCTGTTTATTGCTCTGCTGTTCTCTCTTTCTCCACAGAGACACATTTGAGGTGGTTCAGAGATGGCGGAAACCCCAGCCAATGAGAAGTCTTGTCAGACGGATGAGATCACAGGTGAGGCCGCTGTGCCCGGGCCTGACCATGCGAGCAAGACGCTAGGTAAACTTCCGCTTTCTGCCTGTTTGTTGAATCTTAAATGAGTACTACATGTAATACATACTACACGCTTCTTGACCATTGGGATCCATTCTGACCGGTCCACATGAATGGATATAATCCGAACAAGAGTAAATGCATTTTAAAAGCAGCCCATCGGCTCTGATCCTTCCCTATTAGAGGATTACAGCAAATTCCTCCATGGCCTGCTATTCTCCCTCACTCAGTAGGGGTCACTAGAGTCTGTGACCCTTGCAGTGGAGAGGTCATGCCCCTCCCCCTCAGCCTATTCCTGTAAAGGAAGATAAATTTACACACGCATACATAAACTAGTGTGAATTGGTGGTAACTTACACTTCAGGTTACTGAATCAAGCAAAGTGCAATTGTCAAAGGCTTTTTATCAAGTAATGATCAGCTCCTTATAAATTAGTTTGTCCTTTATAAAGATTTCTATCATGTTTATAATTGTAGTATGATGCTGAACTGAAAGTGTTTGTGTGGATTGTGACGGAAGCATTGATTGAGCTGCCCTTTGCCCCATTATACTGGGAGGTCAAGAGGCCACGCCCCCTGTGATGAGGGGTTGGTTCAGGGGAGGGGCTTGAGGTCTGTGTGAAAGTGATAGGATGTAGCAGGGTCACTTCCTGTTCACCTTATGTTTTTATGCTTTGTTTTTACTAATGGTTGAAATGAATTTAAATCTCTTATATGCTTTGAAGAAAGAGTGTTCCTTTCAATTCCAACATTAATTTTGAGCATACAAAACTAAAATAAATTAGTAAACCTTTTCTATATTATAACGAAAGAAATATAAACTTGTTTTCCCCTTTTTTCCTATTCCATTTGCATATTTTTCCTTTCATATTTCCAGTTTAGCTGATTTCCCTGGTATGATCTCAGCAGTGTTATTTTAGTATTATTTATATACTATTATAGTGTTTATAAATATTTTAATAAGCTTTTATTTTTACATTTGCAGTTTTATTTTAGTAATTTTCAAGTGCTTTTGACATTTTTGTCAAGGACATTTTTGTTTGTAGGTTTTTTTATAATTAGCTTTTTATTGTTTTTTAAATTTTCTTTATATTTTGATTTGGATTTTATATTTTAAGTTTTCATTTTATTTTAGTTTTAGTCATTTTTTCGTTTTTTTTTTATATTTTGAATTAACTTTGGTTTTATAGTTTCAGTTTTCATTTTAGTTTTAGTAATTTTTATGTGATTTTGTCATTTTTATTAGACTTAAAATTTTGAACATATTCTGAATTCAGATTTTTTTATTTCTAATTTTAATTTTAGACTAGGTTTTAGTCTTTTTTTATATTTTGAATTAGCTTTTGTTTTTATAATTTCAGTTAAGTTCATTTTAGTAATTTGTGTGTAATTTTTAGTAGGTTTTTAAAAACTATTTTTAGTATTTTAAACTAGCTTTTATTTGTACATTTTCATTTTTCCTTTTAATTTTAGCTTGGTCGTTTTTCTTATATGCTTTTGTCATTTTTATTAGTTTTATTCATATAACTATATAGCTTTAATCTATTTTTATTCCAGCTTTGGTTTTAGTCATTTTAGTACTTAAACATATTTATTTCAATTATTTGCCAAGGTAACATTTTTTTTTTTAGTTCAAGTTGATCAACTTTTAAATATATATTATTTCTGATAAACTTACCACGAAATCACCAAATAATTTAAATATTTTTAACACTTTTATCTTAATTTTCAAGTGCTTTTGACATTTTTGTCAAGGACATTTTTGTTTGTTAGGTTTTTTTTTATAATTAGCTTTTTATTGTTTTTTAAATTTTCTTTATATTTTGATTTATATTTTATATTTTAAGTTTTCATTTTATTTTAGTTTGTTTTAGTCATTTTTTAGTTTTTTTAAATATTTTTAATTAACTTTGGTTTTATAGTTTCAGTTTTCATTTCAGTTTTAGTAATTTTTATGTGATTTTTTTAGTAGGTTTTTAAAAACTATTTTTAGTATTTTAAACTAGCTTTTATTTGTACATTTTCATTTTTCCTTTTAATTTTAGCTTGGTCGTTTTTCTTATATGCTTTTGTCATTTTTATTAGTTTTATTCATATAACTATATAGCTTTAATCTATTTTTATTCCAGCTTTGGTTTTAGTCATTTTAGTACTTAAACATATTTATTTCAATTATTTGCCAAGGTAACATTTTTTTTTTTAGTTCAAGTTGATCAACTTTTAAATATATATTATTTCTGATAAACTTACCACGAAATCACCAAATAATTTAAATATTTTTAACACTTTTATCTATTACTATCTGCAAGCTAGTGAGTAAATCAAGTTTTATTTACCAGAAAAAAAAATCTCTCATCTGACACTTGGCTCTTGTGTACAGACAGAACTGTTTAGTGGAAACTGACGCATAGATCATCACACCAACCGTTTATAGCACAAACATCAGTCAGCGGTGTTCAACCGCAGAGCCCTAGATTTATTCTGAGTGTGTGTAGGTGTGTGTTGACTGCCACCTCCTCACCTAGCCGTCCTGACATTGGCAAATTTCCGGCCGTTCCTGTAGGAAATTCCCTCACACAGTCATAAAACACCTCCAATATAAGGCGAGTCTCTGAGGGCCGCTGTAAACACACCGCTGGGCTCTGGGCTGGTCCAGCCATAAATTCCCCAACATCCCCGTCAATCTCCGACTGATTTGGTCGCTTTATCCACAGCTGTGTTCATGCCCCGTATCTTCACACACGATTGATTTTTCACCTCTTCAAGTAGTGAAGAGTTATTGTCTCCCACTGCGTATCTGTTCCCACGTAACTCTGGTGATGGAAAATGCTCTTTTATAGTCGTTTTAGATCATCGGTTCTTTAACATCTCTAGATTTCTAAGAAAATATAACAGGTTTTGCTTGTGCAAACTCACCGGCATGATGCTATAGTGTTGGTTCAGATCCTTAACCTTGAGTATGAGCAATAATAATACTAGTGATATTTGCTATTGCAAACTCCACTAATAAAAGCCCTTTCTGTAATAGTCTCCACAAACTAGAGCTTCATTAATCACCACCTTGAAATATTGGCATACATAACCCAAACAGAAGAGATATTATCCCATTTATCCAGTGGAAAAATGGAGATGTGTATTAAATCAAAGCTTTTATTTCAGAGCCAGACGTTTTCGCAAATACTCATCTAGACAGTCGCAGGCAGCGGCCATCAATAATGCAAACTTTAATAAAAACTCATTTAGAAAGCACAAGCTGAACCTCTGAATGGATATGACTCGTATCGGCGAGATCTGCCATCCAAAACATACTGGCAGGAGCACAGCAGCAAACTAAACTTCAGATCATAATTTATGTATAATGAGTTTGTCTGGAGAGGATTATTCAAAGAGATTCACCTTGACGGACTGTCATAGGTGTTAATAGGAGAGATAAGCAGCATTATAACTGAGGTGCATGATTAATTGGATGAGTTTTCTGTGATGCAAAGGAAAAACCTTCTCTATGTGCATTTAGAATATACTGGAGTTTAGAATGATGCTTTATGCCTTTTCTCTGTTTACAGCAGCAAATCTATTGGTTTAAAACTGTTCTGAACATTTCAAACGTCTAGTGTGCATGTTGTAAATAATTCATGGATCTACTGTAAGAATACACTGTTTTTCTATTGCAGTCTATTCCACAGAACCTGGAGATCCTCCTCTGCTACAAACACCGCTGCTAACCTCCAAATCTGGCATCCAGCAGATCATTGAATGTTTCCGCACAGGTGCTGTGTCTGTTCACAATGTGTTACCTAAGCTCTGTTTCCTCTCTTTATGATTGTAGTAGACTGAACAGTTAGAATGAAATGGAAACTATGTGGAGAATCTAACCCCAATCGTCACAAGCATCGACTGAGCCAACACAGAATCCCAATAAGTCTAATCACTGCCCTCTTGCGCTTACTTGCAGGAACTGCACAGCTGAAACACATTCTCCTCAAAGAGGTGGACACAATCTTTGAATGTAAACTCTGCCGCAGTCTCTTCCGAGGCCTTCCCAATTTGATCAAACACAAGGAAATTTATTGTTTCACTCGAATGCCTGAACCTGATGGTTAGTACAGCACTGCATTTCTACTTTTCATTTTCTCCTAAAGAGTATTCTTCATTGACATATGGCAATAAAGCACAATTGATGATTGGTGATTGCAATTCTGCTTGTTCATAGAGTTGTTCATTCCACAACCTGTCGTTTTGGCAGATTGGCTTCAATATAAGCTGTTTTTAGACTTACAGAATGTTTTATAGCACAATGACCTCTTATATATCAAACGATCAAAGGAATTTTGATTTCTCAGTTCATGTCCCCTTTAATAAATAGATCGCATTTATGCTACTGTACCTTTAAAACTTCTATATGTAAATTTGATTCTTTACCTAGGGACCCAGCTAACAGGGAACGTTCTCAGAACTTTTTGGCAAGGTTCTCCCCAGGTTATGAACAAACGTTCGATCAAACGTTATCAAAGTTATCTGGTCTTTAATAATGTTCTCAAAATGTGTTCTCTTCATAGACCGGTTTTTCCTGAAACGTTTTAGTTGGATGTCCATCTAACCGTCTTTAAATGTTACTACTTTCAGAGTTCAGAACGTTCAGAGAAAATTCAAAGGTAACATTCCCATAATGTTAAATGATGAAGTGGAATGTTTCCTTTACATTCCCATAACCAAGAAAAAATTATAAAACATTTAAAAAACTGGATGTTTTGAGCATTCAGAGAACATTCCGAAATAATGGGCCTCATTCATGAAACATTCGTAAATATATGAGTAATTTCTCATAATGAATAAATTAACGTGTGTCCACCAGAGCGTTTTTAGCCAGCTGACATAATGCCTGATGCTCTTCTGAAAACGACCAGCTGGGTGCAACATCTGTGGGCAGAGCTTTAAAAAGACAAGATACCGAGGGTTGCACAAGAGAAGCCACCTGAAATCCGCAACCAGGAGTGCAGGTATCAGAACAAGATCCAAGGTCATGCTTTGGTGAGTGCCTCTGAATCAATGCACTACACAAACTCTGTTCCAAAGCCTTGTGAGCTACCTTGCTGTCTACTTCCTCCATAGCTACTGTAGTTCCTTCTAGGGCAGGATACTAATTGAAACGAAGCCTCATAAGTAAATAATATGGAACGCTTTACCTAGGGACCCAGCTAACAGGGAATGTTCTCAACTTTTTGGCAAGGTTCTCTCCAAGTTATGATCAAACGTTCTATCAAACGTTATCAAAGTTATCTGGTCTTTAATAATGTTCTCCAAATGTGTTCTCTTCATAGAATGTTTTTTCTTGAAACGTTTTAGTTGGATGTCCATCTAACCGTCTTTAAATGTTACTACTTTCAGAGTTCAGAACGTTCAGAGAAAATTCAAAGGTAACATTCCCATAATGTTAAATGATGAAGTGGAATGTTTCCTTTACATTCCCATAACCAAGAAAAAATTATAAAACATTTAAAAAACTGGATGTTTTGAGCATTCAGAGAACATTCCGAAATAATGGGCCTCATTCATGAAACATTCGTAAATATATGAGTAATTTCTCATAATGAATAAATTAACGTGTGTCCACCAGAGCGTTTTTAGCCAGCTGACATAATGCCTGGTGCTCTTCTGAAAACGACCAGCTGGTGGTGCTTGAGAG